AGAAGAACTCGATCATCATCATGAGACAGCTAAATATTAAAAACGGTAAGTACATTAATGTGTTGTGATGTGATGTGTTGATGATACTAATAATCCAATTGATAATTTGCAGGATGTGGTTCCCGTATGGAATCCGGTTTGCAGCTAATCCAGTTGAATTTTATTTTAAATTCCTTCATCGCAGGATGTTTGTGCTGTCCACGTTGGATGGATGCAAGTTACGAAACGAAATTACCCAATGGATTTGTTCCTAATTAATCAGTGTTAGCGGAAATCCAGCGACAAAACAACCCACGGAATTAAAGACGTGCAGAGTGATGATGCCCCGAATATGAATTAAAAATCGTTGTACAATGCGTATCAGCGGGTTTGTTTGCGCTGAGTGATATTTAGTGCGACAAATAAAGAAGTAAAATTGTAATGATTATTTGTTTTTTTGTATATTTGATGATGATTGTTTGTTCCACCAGTACTCTGCTGTTGTCTTCCCAGGTGACCATATTCATATTATTGTTGTTTCTGCTGGCACTGATTGTTGGGCAGATGTGAATGTACTAACTTTTTCGTACATACAACAATTGCTAGAAAGTCACTCTTACTTTTCAACGAAACTTTCGTAAGTGTGTATTATTTATCGTACAATGTATGAATGCTGTTTTATAGGTCTACTAATTATTCGTACTTTTCTTCGTCATTGGCATTTTTACATACGAATAATTCGTAGCGATTCGTAAAATGCAAGAATGCTACGAAATCAATTAGGTTGGTACATTAAACGAATCTCGCTTCATATATAGTACGAATATATTTCGTTGCAGATAGCAACGAATGAATTCGTGGCACAAACGAACGTTTTCGTAGTATAAACGAAATTTTATTTTCAGTGCAGAGCTACGTCCAGAATGCAAAGAAGAGAGCTGGACTACATACATACAAGGTACAGAACTTCCCAAACCGCGATGAGCGGCAACAATCGACGGCTAAAACTCGGGCACGGAAGCTCTACGAGAAGATGCTGACAAAATATGGCTGCTGTGTGATGGACGACGAAACGTATATAAAAGCCGATTTTAAGCAAACTCCGGGGTTTTTCACCGGCAAGAGCAAGTTCGATGTGGACGACAAATTTAAGAAGAAGAAAATGTCGAAGTTCGCCTCCAAATATCTCATTTGGCAGGCCATCTGCTCTTGCGGACTGAGGAGAGAGCCTTTCGTGACAAAGGGCACAGTAAATGGCGAGATCTACAAATCTGAGTGCCTCGAGAAGCGCCTTTTGCCGTTCTTGCAGCAGCACGACGAAGCTCCGCTATTTTGGCCAGATTTGGCATCATACCACTATTCTAAAAGTGTCCTGGAGTGGTATGAGGCCAATTCTGTCCATTTTGTTCCAAAGGACATGAATCCGCCAAACTGTCCGGAGCTGCGCCCGGTGGAGCAGTACTGGGCAATAATGAAGCGGGAACTTCGGAAGAGCAAGAAGACAGTCAAAGACGAGAAGGACATGTTAAGAAAATGGAAAAAAAACTGAGAAACTGGTACCGGATGACACTGTAAAGACTTTGATGGAGGGCATCAAGCAAAAATGCGTTCAATTTTACACTCAAGGCTCCATCGATTAACTTTTCTTTTGATTTTTGAAGTAAATATATGTATAAAACTACCCTAAAATTTTGGTTTGATTCTAAACATTATAAGAAAATTGGCATGACATTTTCGGTGTCGCAATAATTTCGTGTTCGCCCTTTAATGCCATATTTATACTCGAATCGGTTGAAAAATACACTTAATCTTCTAGTTTACTCGATATCTATCCATTGCAATCAATATTTTGACGATTGTTTATGTTTTGCTAGTTGTAGAACAGGTAGATTGAGGTTATGGAAACGCCACTGGCTAACATAGTCACATAGTTTATTATAAAATAGTATAGTTGAGTATAGTATAGTCGCATAATAATATTGGGCAAAATTATTTTTTTTAAATAATTTTTTTTCTAAACAGTGTGTTTAATTACCTTCCGTTTGATATTTTAAGCTTTGAAATCGGCCCAAGGTTTCAAAAGTTATAAATTTTTGAAAAAAGTCATTCTTGAAAAAAAAAATTGGACTACTCTCAGGGTGGCCAGCAAACTGGGAAAACCGGGAATTTGAAAAGTAACCGAGAAAAACCCGGGAATTCGACGAGAAAAACGGGAAAATAAATTAACCATACCATAGGAACAAATTTTTACACCAGAATTTTCAGAATAAACCATTAAAACAGAGATTTTTACACCAGAATTTTCAGAATAAACCATTAAAACAGAGATTTTTACACCAGAATTTTCAGAATAAACCATTAAAACAGAGTGATCCTTTACCAGATGAATGTCTTGCTCTATTTGCAGTATAATTTTTTTTAGTTTCCCGTCTTATTGTTTTTAGAATTAAATCACTCAGCAATATTGCAAATTGATTTTTGTCGTTTCAATTTCAGATGTAAAGTGCATGGTCCTTCAAAGAAAATATTGAAGATGCTGGACTTAGGAAACAAATATTTGTAAATACCGAAACTGAATTATTCCCCCGATTTAATTTTTCGTTCAAAATTCTCAAGACATGAATTCCAGAATTAACTTGGAATTCTGCTCTGAATTATTTTGAAATTGTTCTGAAATAAACCAGAAAACACTCCGCGTAATAATTACCGTTGAATTCTAAGTGGAATTTCCTTGCAACCCTTTCTAAGAATTTAATTGGAATCCTTCTTAGAATTCCCTTGAGCCTATAGGAAACTTTGATTTCTTTGAAAATCTTTTCAAAAATTTCTTTTAACTCTGTTCAAAACAGCAGAAATCTTTTGAAATTTTATTTATAAACCCCTTGGAGTATTTTGAAAAATTTCTTTCTAATTATCAGCAAATTTTTAGCAAACAATTTTCTTGGAGTTCTGTGATGAATCTTTCGCACTAGGGTGAAAATTATTACCAGAACATTCTAAGAACTCTGTTTTTTGTTGAATTCTGATCATAATTCTCTTGGTATTCTTCTTAAAATTCATCTGTCATTTTTCTCACGATCCCCATACAAATCTTCTCAGAATCACGTAGGAATTTTCCTCAAAGTTTTGTTTTTCACAACTCCTTTTTAAATCTTCCAAAAATTACCTAACAATTTAATTAAGAACCTGCATTCTTCTCCACAGAAATCCCTTCAAATTCATCTAAGAATTTATAAGGACTTCATGTCAGAATAATTCTGGAATTCTGCTCAGAACTTCTCCTTTGAAAACTGTGTGGGAATCTTTTTCAATATTTGTTTGAAATCAACACTTTGAATTCTTTTAAATTTTACTCAAAATTCCAGGGTTTGTCCGCTAGATTCCATAGATTGTTCTGTAATTTGTTATAACCCTTAAAATGCTTCCAAGTCTCAGAATGTGACAATTATGACTCCACGACTCATAAGTATGATATTTTTTTTTTAAATCTGTGATCTTGAAATGTTTTTAAAATCTCACATTTTAATTATTGTTTCTCCAAATCGCATCACAAAGATTGTTATTAATCACAAATTTTGAAAAAAAAAGAAGTTCTAGTTTCAGACTCTACACAAATTTTAAAGCCCCAGAATCTTGGGAATCTTCTTAAATCACATTTTTTTTTATTCTTTCAGTAAATTCCTTTCAGAACGTTCTTCAAAATGCGTTCAATTTTGTTTTTTGTTGAATATTAACAACCGGAATTTTTTAAGATTTAAACTAACTCTAACATGGAAATGGTCACCCTAATGATAAAAAAAAAAATACGGGTCTTATACACTGGAGTCGCTTTTTACGCGGTTTTTTTTTACACGGTTTTTTTTTACGCGGTTTTTTTTTACGCGGATTTCGGAATTTACGCGGTTTTTTTTTACGCGGATTCCGGAATTTACGCGGTTTTTTTTTACGCGGATTTTGGTTTTTTTTTACGCGGATTTCAGAATTTACGCGGTATATCGCTTTTTACGCGGTTTTTTCTTCCACGGTTTTTTTTTTACTCGGTTTTTTTTTACGCGGATTTCGGAATTTACGCGGTTTTTTTTTACGCGGATTCCGGAATTTACGCGGTTTTTTTTTACGCGGTTTTTTTTTACGCGGGACGTATCACCCGCGTAAAAAGCGACTCCAGTGTAATTTGCCACATAATCAGCATTAAGTGCCAACTTTAGGAAAGTTCTCGGTGTCTTGAGATCCTGGTCATCTGGAGGATAGTTGCTTTCTTCGACAACGTTGTTAAGAAGGCTACGTACTTTCAGGTAGGTGACAGTGTGCATAACTATGTTTGTTCCTACTACATCTTGAGATCCTGATCATCTAGATCTGCAGCAGGAACTCTCTGAACAGGTTATATCTAGAAACATTTTCTCAATATACTTGAATCTAAGCCACCGGCAAACGATCCAATTTTCCCCTTCCCAAACTGGTCAATCTCCGTTCAAAATCATGCACCTACATGCGTATGACAGCACCAACATACACACCATACCAACTAATCGTGGACATGAGCACAGATCAAACACGCGTCTACCCATAACTGAACTCGAACCGTGTAAAACCATTGCTGTCCAAGATATCGATTTGAGGTTATGGCAAACGAGTTTTGATTTGCTGCCGTCATTTGATTGACCAGATGGTGCACCCAGACTCGCTGTTTGCCACTTTCCACTGGTTGTCTCTTCCATTTATGCCGTCGTCGTTTCATAAATGCTGCTATGTACTTACATTGAAACGGTGGACCAACGTCCCCGGATAAAAATTACATTTCGAAACAATTCTAATATACAAATCTGTAGATAGCTTTACATGCAATGCACACCGAACTGTGTTGGGTGGCGAATGACAACTTATAATTGAAACGTCGTCCAGTTAATGCATATTGTTTTTTTTAGTCGGGATGTACCCCCGTTCGCCGTTGTCGTCATCGTTTCGATTGAATCAATATATGGAAGTGTACTAATTTCTGCTTTCTTTCTCATTTCTAGGCAATGGCGATACATCCTGGTGCTTTTCACAGATAAAGGGTGCCCTCGACGACGATGTCACCGACGCGGACATCATCTCGTGTGTGGAGTTCAACCACGATGGCGAGCTGCTGGCCACCGGCGACAAGGGCGGCCGAGTTGTCATATTCCAGGTGAGGAGAAAGGGAGATGGGAATACAGTGCGAAACGGATTCCTGATATGGATTCGGACACGTGTCCGGTCCTGTTGTTGTTGTTGTTGATTACATCAATTGATTGGAGGAAGGAGATTTGCAGTGACTGGCTGCTTGTGAAAGGAGGATGGCATTAATTGAATTTTCAAACCGGGGAACGTGTTTCTTGTATGGAAAATCGAAATGGAAACGATGATTGATAGGAAGCGTTCCGTTCGTGGGACGTATGCATCTACGGGGAATTAGATGGTGGCAAAATTTCCTCGGTTTATGTGCCTGGAATCCAACTTAGATTAGGATAAAATTAAGGGATCATTGTAAGACATTTAGAGAGCCGGTCTAATGATCTTCGACGACTTCAAAGACCATCTCATTGTGGGTAAATCCAACTTAATTCTGGAAGCCAGTCGGTAGGGAAAGGTTCAGGATCAATGGGACTTCAAGGCTAGTTTAAGAAGACAAGTTCGAGGACGAGTTCACAATTTTTTTAAGGATCAAATTTGGCTCCTTCCAATATATTTACCCACAGGGTTCTTACGTTGAAATCCATTGTATTTTCCCAAGAGGTTGTTCGAAACTGTAATCCAGATCATCAGGACTTAAACCATTTCTTACTTTTGTCCTAGAAGTTATTGGGCTGCTCTAAAATAGCACATTTGAGTATCGAAACTAGCACTTGATGCTTTCTGAATATTTCCCGAGGTCCACTGTGCACTTCTAGGACATTCTCCAGTATTGAGGGCATTGAGGTTCGTTGTACTTGCCTTTGGGAGTTAACAGATCCCCTGGACATGTCAAAAACATTATCTGATCTTACTATCAAAGCTCTATAGATTTTCTTTCGAAATTGTTTGAGCTGTACAGTGCTGCGGAATGAATCACAGAGTCCACAGACAAGGCTGTTGATGGCACTGGACGAAAGCACTCTGAAGTTCTGTGGAACTTGCCCTTGTAATCTTTCGATCATATCTCTACAGTTTCGGTATAGTTGATCACTTATTTTGTTAACACATTTCCAACATCTCCCTTGGATATATCAGGAATCTGATGTCCAGCAGACTCTTAGATTTGTCCCGCAAAGCATCCGAGTTATTCTGCAAGTCTCTGGATTTTCCCCCAAGGTTGTTGGATTTGTTTGATTTATAATTTTTCTCTTGATTTGTTTTCCGTACACTTGAGTACCAATTCCAGGGCTGGTAGTGAGTCACTTTTTTCAAGTCAGTCACTAAAAAGTCTCTTGTTTTAAGGTCATGTCACTAAAGTCACTTATTCTTGTAATCAGTCACTATTTTCAACTATTTTAGCGTCAATTTATTTCAATATTGATCATTATTTGCTTTGTGACGTTTAATCGTCTTTCTCTATCTACAGGCTGTCAACTCATTTTTCTAAATAAAATTTCCTGCGTTTTCCAGGTTTTCCCAGAACTTTAACGGATAAATTCAAGGCTTATAATAAGAAAGTTTTTTTTTAATGCGTTCAAAATATGCTTTTTCTGGAAGATCAACAGTAATTAACCCAAGCGTTTTTAAGACATGGTAATCAGTTTTAAAGAAACAAGTTTGTAATCAAATCCAATGAATGTTGAACTTAATTTTTCACTGTTCACAGTTTAAAAAAACGTACTTAATTTGAGTAAGTCCAAAATCTAAAAACATTCAATGTCCAGGGCTGGTAGCTGGTCACTTTTTAGTGGCTTTGTCACTATTTTGAAGTCAGTCACTAAAAAGTCACTTTACACACCAAAAAGTCACTAAAGTCACTATTTCCCTAAAAATAGTCACCAAAGTCACTTTTTCACAGCTAAAATAGAGTGAAATGGAACAATATCAACAACATTTTTAATTTGAGTACTTAGCACTAAGGAAGTTACAAAAGAATTCTGGGATGATTTCTGAGGATGGAACGAGGGGGGCGACACATCTAAATCTCAATTCTAGATGCTCAACAAATCTCACACTAGCGAATCAATCTTCTTTCATTTCTCGCATCTACTTGCATCGCGCATAATATTTTTGCAGGAATTCTTCAGAATCGTTTCCCTGCATCGTAGATAGAGTCGCCCTCCTCGGGATGGAAGCATGAGAACTCTAGAGAGTTCGAAATAAATTCCGAGAAGAATTCCAATGGAATCGGCTTTTGAGGGTTCAATCTTAAAGGAATTCTTCGAAGAGTTTCAAAGGGTATTCTGGGATGGATTTTTTTTTTTGAGAATTCTGAGAAAATACTGTCCAGAGAAGTCCAAGATTATTTTGAGCATAAATTTATGATATTTATGAGGTTAATAACATGGAAATTCTAAAGAGAATTCAAGTAAATTTGAAATGGATTTATGGGAAGAGTCTTCATGGAAATCCTGGAAGAATAATTAAAAATCGAATATAATCTACTTTAACTAATTATGATTTATTAATTCATGCGTAAAGTTATCGATTTACATAGTTGGAGATGCTTAACGTCAAATATCAGACTTAAAGTGAACATTTTATACGATAGATGAGGAGATGAAGGCATAGAGTTGATAGTTACGTTGTAGTGCGGTAGTGTGAAAATTGTGTATAGAAAGTAGAAGTAGAAAGCGAGCAAAGGACATTTTTAAGGAAGGTACGAATTAGGTAGAGAAATCAGGTAGATGTTTACGTCAGATGGCGATTTGAGTGTGAAACAATTGATAGAACTGTTTCCGCACATCGGAGGCACATGAGCAAATTGGCGATTATCCCTTTTGCCAGTGTGGCGGGGTGAAACACCCCTCACTATCCTTCATCAATGAGTTTGGTAAAAGGGATGCTCTACCCGATTTGTACATTCCTAAAAAATGTTTTAAGCTCCCTTTTTACTTTCTATATACAATTTTTACACTGCCGTAGTACAACGGAACTATGAACTCTATACTCTATTAAAATGTTCACTTTAAGTCTGATATTTGACGTTTAGCATATCCAACTACAAAAATAATCTATTTCCATTGTTCTGCAAAGAATTTCAAGAATGCAATATTATTTTTGTTAAGCTTGTTTTAGAAGCAAGTTTAAGAGGAGTGGAATAATTTTAAAAAAGTTCTTGAGATCATCCTGAAAAAAAAAATTAAATATTCTTAGAGAATTATCAAAGTTATATCAAAATTTGAAAGATTTCAAAGGTAGAATCAAATTCAAGATCTTTGAAAAAATACTGTCGTTGTAATGATCTATTTAACCCTATTTATGCTGGTTTATTATGCTTTATTGGTTTATACATTAATTTTAACGTATATCGCTCAACCAGCAACATTTAATTTTTTTTTTGAAAATCCGAAAATTGCACTTTAAATGCTTTTAATAGGAGATTCAGTTGAGAGTTTTGATATAATTAGAGGAATACATGGAATGTGATTTTAAGTTCCATGACAAAAACAGTTTATTTGAATATTAAACCTTATTTGAGTTTCTGAGTCATTACATAAATGTCACCATTGGTTACTTATTTATTATTTAAAAGTCACTATTTGGTCACTATTTCCGTAATTTTAGTCACTAAAGTCACTACTATTATATCGCACCAGTACTACCAGCCCTGAATGTCTTGTAGTTTCGTATTCCATGTACAAGTTCATGATATTGAAAGTTGTCAAAGTGCCTGAATTAAGGAAAACATTAAATGAATTATTTCAAGTTCGTAATTAACTTTATGAAATATAAGAGATCTTCATTGCAGTCCCATTAACTTCACAACAATTGCAGGAACTTTGAAGAAGTTCTGAGGAATGAGAGGATATTCTGAGAATTTCAGTAAAGCTCCATAAACAAACTGCGGGAACATAAGGGAAGTTAACACACTGAAATTATGGGGAACTTACTGGAAGCTTTAAGATCTTCAAATCGGTTCTTTTAACATTCTAAAAAAGTTCAGAAACATTTATGAAGTTCCTAGAATTTCAGAACACATCACAGGTGTTAAGCAAACTTGAGAAATATAGAAACGTTGAGGGGTATTGTGCAAATTTAAAGAAAATCTAAGCACCTCAGAATAGCTCGATCTAGAGATCTTTGGGAAAATTCAGATCTTAAGAGCAGTTCCCATGACTTTAGTTCAGACTTTTTAGAGCAGTTTAAATATCTATAATCGTAAATTTAGGAAAATTGAGAACCCTTAAGATGTTCCGAGAATTTCAGGAAAGTACAGAGACCATCAGATAATTTAAGAAAACTTCATAAATATTTCAGGAACTTCACAGAAGTCCAAAGAATTTCAGGGAAATTTATTTTCAATAGAATTGAGGGCTTTAGGGAAGCTTCGAGAACATCAAGACAGATAAGATAATCAAGGGCAGTTCAAATAAGTTAATGAAAATTATAGAAACCTTAAAGAAGTTCCGGAAGCTTCAACAAAGCTCCGATAGAACTTCTGGAACGTGATAAAAATTATATGAACATCCGGAAAACGTGAGAGTATTTTAAGGGTGTTATATCATGGAAATATCAAGAACTTTAAAAAATACGAAAGTTTAGCTAAGTTGATTAGATAATATCAACGAAGTTCCATTCATTTAAAAAAAATGCGAGAACTTTTAACAAGCAGCGATAAATATCTTCAAGAAATTCCAGAGAACTTAGAATTTAGATAGTTTCATGATATTCAGCGAAGTTCCGAGTACTTCGAGGACGATCAAATAGCTTCAGAATAATCCCATTAACTTAAGCAAATTTGCAGCGACTTACAAGGAATTCCGTGGAATTATGGGGTATTCCAAGAATTCTATGATTGACCTAAAAACGTCAGGGAATTTTAAATATATAATATATATCAGAAAATTTGCCGGACAAACAAATTTAGAGAACTTCAGGTAACCATAGTTCAGGGAAAATAAGTGAGCGTTTTAAATGGTTAGAATACTCAAGGAAAATTGTCCAAACCTCAAGGTAAATCAATTAATTTAATTAAAGTTGCTGATAAATTCAGGGCAACCTAGAGAACTTTAAAGAAATTCGTTTAGGCGG